GGGAGGTGGGGACGAGCCGGAGGAGGAGTCTGGAGCGCGTTGCCGTAGAAACAGGATCCTCAGTTGGCCGGTGTGAAGTCAGGAGCGTCATATTAGACGGTGACTGCAGTTAGATGCTGCTGGTGGTGTGAGGTGGGTGGATGGGAGGGGAAGGGGAGGGGAGCTTGGGAGGGGGTGACTCACACCGAAGGACGCACTCTGCATTCTAATGGATCGACCCATATGTGAACACACACACACACACACACACACACACACACACACACACACACACACACACACACACACACACACACACACACACACACACACACACACACACACACACGCACCTTTATTGGTTACATCACATACTGTCCCCTACCCATTTATTTCCACTATATATCCACTACTGTACAAACTGCTCAGCATCATCCTGCACCACTCTACTTTTACAACATATAATTAATTCATTATGTCAATGGGAGAACCATTAGTGTTTGTCTTGATGGCTTCACTTGCATGCCTTGATAAAGGGCATCTATTAGGGGGAAACTAAATGCTAAGACAGGCTAGTAAACTATAGCCGTGTAATTGGTGACGGTATAATTGCACAGCACACGTACCAATTAAAGCGATAATATGTGTAAACCGCGCTCAAAATTATCATTGGATTAACTACACTTCCCAAATGCCCTTGAGTGTAGAGGATCACCAGCTGTTACAGGGGAAGAGTTCATAATTAGGCGTAAGATTTTTTTAGGCTGTTGTTTTGCGGGTCTTTGCTTTTGACTGCAGGGACATCAGTTCGTATGTCATTAGATCTGTTTTGGGGAAGTAGTACATATTTATGAACTTTTTTCTCTCAGGGTGTGGGACAAGAAAGAAGAAGCTCTACATAAATATTTTCCCACATGCACAAATGGGCACAAATCCAAACAATTAAAAATGTTGTGATGCCTCAGGGTCAACAAAGCGATTCATTACAACAACAAACTTGGCATTGAGAATAAGACTACCAAAATGTGTAAACCCCCTATTTATGGATCATCCTAATTGATGGGATGCATACATGTTTTACTTCACCTGACAATAGAAGTAACAGAGGCTGGAATTGTTTTGTTTATGGTCATTAAATATTAATGTCAACGTGAAAGCATCTACATTTATAATATCCCATGTTTATATATAATTTTTTCACTTCAAACTATTGACTCAATAATTTGTGTAAAAACACAACCAATATTTAGTGTTGAGAAATGAATGTACTAAACAAAAGCATATCAGAGGCTTTGAATATTATTTAAATATATAATATATTGTTGTTTTGTATATGTTTCCTCACAAAATGAATTCCCATAATTGTCAATACCTGACTGAAGTGTAAGATGTAGGGGGGATGCAATGATTCATTTGAAGTCAGAGAAGATCAAATTCAACTCAAGAGATAACACGGGCACATTCATGAAAGTCTGGATGCTTTTTCTGCTTTGCTTTGATAATCTAACAATCTAAGCTGCCTCTTGATTTGAGTTTGTCATGTGTATTAACTATGATTACATTAATTCTATATGTTTACCTGGAGAACAATGTCAAATATATGTGTTGCTCTGCTCTAGATATATGGGTTATTTGATGTTTTTAATAATGTATACAACATCTAGAGGACCAATGATATGGGGTGAGGAGGTAGGAAGAGAAACGTAACATTATGATTTGTAAGCATGGTAAACCCGGAAATGTAAAAATGCGTTTTCCATAACATAATAGTCATACTGTTTTTCAGTTGACTATTTAATCCACAGCCAGGACAACATACTGTCAGCCATTTGAAGCAGCCACTGCAGTGTTATAACTCAGGGGAATGTGACGTACACTTGGCCGATAGCAAATCATTGACTTTTTGATTGACACTGCTTTGCTCTTCCTTTTAAGGAAAGCCGGGCCAGGTTCATTTCCCATCATCACAGCGTGTAAAACTGGAAGCAGCAGGAAGAATCACAGGCAGTGTGACGTTTCCTCGGTCACCACCCACAGCTGTATCTCATCGTTTAGGTCAAGCCAATGGGGGGCAGGCTGGTCCGCCATGAAAGAGGCTCACTGATGAATATTATTTTCAGGCTTTGTTTATTTCAGTTTGCCTGTGACCATGACTCATTCCATTTTTGGGAAAAGGGGTGGCTATAGTACCCCCTTGGGCAAAAAAAATATAAACTTGATATCTCCTGAATCTCAAGAGCAGATAAACCAGAAAGTAATGTTTCGGTCTATTTTATTTCTTTGAAGGATTGTAACACGCCTGAAGACACAAGACAGATATTTCAAAAGGAAAAATAACAAAACAGTACATCTATGTTTAATTGAATGATATTAGTTACATATATTTAAAGTTATTTGCAGATAAGTTGCACTTCATTGTGCAAAACGGGAAATTGTTATGATTCAATAGTTAATTGAGTTTGTACTCAATTATCTTTATTGAGTGGTCTTGACACAATGTTTTTTCTTCGTTTGACCCTTCACATTTATCTCTGCTTTATCTTCCCACGTTTGTTTCTCACTTTTCCTCCCTGTTGTTAAACGTGTCTGTTCTCTTCGGCAGATGTAGATGTCCAGCAATGTTTTCAACACACGTCACTTGGTAAAGATGCGCTAATTTTCCTCATTTGCCTAATTTATTCACAATAATAGAAGGAAGCGGCATTGTTTTTCAAAATCTGTATTCTGGGGGAATACCAGTCACTAATTATAAAGAGTTATGCTAATTACCCACTTGACTGGATCAAATATTACTTGTAATAAGGGTAATTAATTCAGCTGCAGAAAAGAGGCCAATTATCATTTGTTGCAAAACTGTGATGGATGTGATGACACATTTAGAATAAGACAGAAATAACATGCTCTCAAAACCAACTATAGTCATCAATAAAGACATTTCCATTGTGCAGCATTACAAGGAGCCTGTTGTTTCAGTGCAGTGCGCTGTCCATGGTGCTGATCAGGGCTATACAGCCTAATGGCAAATGCAGAAAGCATTTTCTATTAATAGTAATAATGACAAGTTCAAATGGTAAAGTGGATTTTAAAGTATTGTATTTAATCACTCTGAAAAAAATAAACAAATGTGTTGTATGTGGTCTAAATGAACTGCTTTAGAACAAACTGCAAAAAATATATATTATTATCTTAATAGATAATTTTGTCATTGACTATTTTAACGTTTGTTTTGTTTACCAATTGAAACTGTAGATGAAACAACCTTTTGTTTCCCTACTGGCACATTTGAGCTTGGACAACTTGTGAAGTGTGGCCTTCAGACAAATCTTTTAAAAACCACAAACCTTCCAAACTAAGAAAATCGAAGGTGAGATTTCGGGTGATCGGAAGAAGCAGATGGACTGTCTTTCTCAAGAGAAAAGCTACACCTTCCCCCTTATAAGGAACATTGAAAGCCTCCCTCAAATCAAATGTTATCGATTTAATTATGCTAAAATAAAGGGTCGTCAACGTGCCTGAGAGCTGGTGATATGTGACCAAGGCAGAGCTCAGCCGGCTCGGATCGACCTTCAGCGCCACCTGCCTGTTGGTACTTTACCTACATCAAAAACAAATGAAGGCTACTACGATTAGATTACTGATTCAAATCAGCATTGAAAGACTCCCCATTGACCCGAAAGATAGAATTTAGACCTCTAAAACTCGTAGTATCTGCCTGTGCATTATTTCTGGCTGACACAATATCAGACTGATGCATTCACTGAGCAGGATTCAAAGCATCGCCGGGATGAATCATTCCCTGCAGGAAACATATTCCGCATTCATAATTGTAACAGTAAAAACCTACCGTTAGCAGGCTCGATGTTAAATGCAGCGACAACCCGGGCTGTTTTTCTCCAGTCTGTCGGTTGTCCAAACGAGAAAAACCCTGAATGCCTCTCTCTAGCCTGACTACTACAAGGGTCCCATCTGGCTAATTACCTTGTCAATAAACCTTGAAGGAAATACCGCGAGAACGAGAGTTGGGGACGAGAGCTGAGAATGACCATCCTTCACCCAATTCAAACATCCACAATGCATTCACTTGAGCCATTATAATTACATTCAGGCTTTAACAACCATATAAGTACAATATTAATAAAGGTTTTAAAGCTTAACTTTGACACATGCCCTCAATATTATATATATACAAAAAAGCATTGTCTGCCTGTATGGCTTAATAATCACCGTTTATGTCTTTTAAAATCAGAATGGAAAATTGACATTGTTACAAGCATGCGTACAAAAATAAAAGTAATAGTGTGCAAATACAAACAAATGTTCTGTTAAAACACAATTATTTTCACAGTGAATTTGATGGTCTTGGGCAGTTTCAGGACTTATATAGACTATTTATTTCTCTTTGAAGAAATCCATAGAATTATAATATATGATTAAACCAAAAATCACAACACAGATTCAGTTTACAAGGGATAGTTTACACATCGAACAATAACACATTTTCATTGTGTAAAGCATACAGTAAAGACGTTTCACACATTTCTCAACATCCTTGAGGGAAAAAATCCAAAGTATTTTTTTAATTGTTACATTTATATTTATTAATAAAACAATTTGCCAACATCATTATCACATTGATTATAAAACAGTAAAATCCTTTATTTGTTGTTTTTAAAGAAACTAAATAATACATTTCCCCATAATACTGTAAAGTATTATGACGAATGACATATCTGCAAAGATCTTGCCCTGAGTGGGAGAGATGTGTTTCTCTGCCTTCAGCGCCCTCTGCTGTCAGCATTCAGAATTACTGTGATTCAGTGAGTCAAATATTCCAGTTTGCCTTAACATCTCTTTCATAGGTAACATATATTTATTTAGCTCATTTAAATCCACAGGTAACTTTGGGATAATAATATGTGAAAATAATATTCTGGCTATGGTAAGAACAACCAACAAACAGACAGACCAAAAACGGTTTTCTGCGGTTCACAAAATAGGCGCACCATATCCGGTCCGTCTGCTTAATGTGTCCGTCACCAGCACGTTTCGTGTGAAGTTTGAATGTGGTGTATACGTAGGATTGCACTTAACCTAAAAATAAATACGTTTCAAATAAACTTAACCAAACCAGCTAGCGTTTTACAACTGCTACATTCACAAGCTAGCTGCCGTTGTTTACTGTCTGTGGACGTGAAAGCACCACGATACATGTCCAGTCAGCCGAAGAGACTCCGCACTGCAAACATGCCCGCTGTTAAGATCGGAACCCACAATGGCAGCTTTCATTGTGATGAAGTCCTGGCCTGTTTCATCCTCCGGCAGCTGCCCGAGTACAAGGTAGGCTTCTGCTGCAACAGTGCATCATATGATCAGTGCATGTATTTATCCTCTAACTGCTGTTGTTCGTGTGTTATTGTTAACCTTACTTAATGTTCACAATGTTGATAACACTTATTTTAAATATTAATCTTCAGTCTGCATTGGCTGGTTTCTAGAGATGTTTTTATTTGATGTGTTTGCTACACGTCCCATGCCATTTCTTAACACCCCAATTGGTGGTGCTGCAGCACAGATAGATGGAGCTCTAAGAGCGGTGACATATGGACCTGTGATAGTGTAGTCAGTCATATAGTGTACTTTTTGGGAGAAAATACCCAGCAAAAAGTCTTAAAACGTAATAAAACACCTTCCAAACTCTACTGACATGTTCCTACATTCACCTTTGTGGGTATAGTGACTTCTAAAAGTACCTCATGTTGTAACTATAACAACACATAGAAGCAAATTAGCCAATTTGGCAAAAATCTGGTTAACCCTTATTTATCTGTGGCAAACTCCCTGACCCAAATGTAAACAAAGCTGCATAAAAAAAACTTCAAACACAATAGGAATAGCTGTGTTAACCATTTTTCACAGGAAATCAAATTTTAAATTTTTTATATAAAGATAAATATAATGTGTTTGTTGGTTCAATGTGTATTCTTTCCCGGTGTCTAGTGATTTATTCTATTCTAATTGAGTTATTGTTGAACTCTGCCACAGATCTGTTTCCAGTGGGTTAAACACTTACAATTTTATTAACAATTCACAGTCTTGGTAGAATTCATTTAAATGCATTTTTCCGCTGGATTAAAAAGGTGTGGGATGCATGCTCAAATGATGCCTGGACATACCAATCAAGATATGATTGCATTCATGTGGGATGAGTATAGATTTATTATGTAGATATTGCAGACCTAAAAAAACGTTGTATTTATTTAACAGGATGCCGAGATAATCCGCACAAGGGACCCGAAACAGCTGGCAGAGTGTGACATCGTTGTAGACGTGGGAGGAGAGTTTGATCCAAAGAAGCATCGCTATGACCATCATCAGAGGTACGACTGTAGCAGTATGCTGCTGCGAAGAGATTACGTTTATTAAGTGTTTGAAAAGAAAGTTTTAACTTTAAATGAACATGTAGTCTAGTGTTGTGCACTTGAGGAGTACTTCATGTAATTATCTTTACTTAAATAAAAATTGTTATATACATATGAATAATTGATTAAGTAAGCCATTCTTGTCGTGTTGAGAAGAATCGTTTTTTTCTGTGATGCAAATTCTACCGAAGCAATGCAAAATGTGCCTCTCTCATGTCTGCCACTTTGACATGTCACAGCTTCGAAGCACAGGGGTAACTAATATCATTAACGCAGGCTTGTTCCATTTCGATGCACCAGTAAGCCATGTCATGAGCCAGCCACGATAATTAATCTAATTAATTACACCTATTATTTCCCTGCTTTAAGAAATTATAGTGTTATAGTGAGTAAAAGAGAAATCGTCTTGGTTTGTTTGGGAGGTGTTATTGGGCAATATTAGTTTAGCTCAGATAACGCTTCCTCTGAAAAAATGGATAATGGATATGTTATTTTGTTGCAGCTCCATAATTAACTTGTATAAAGGTGGATAAGTAACTGATTGCCATATACATTTTAAAACCATAAATTATCAATGCATAGTTCATCCACTAGAGAGCTGAGACATTCAACTGAAAATGTGCATGTTTTGGTAACATTTAAAACATATAGAGGTGTGTTAAATAGGTATTGATGCACACACAGCCATCACAGGTCTGACAGGAAGTTGTATGTCATGTCTCCTTGAACTCAACAAAGGTAAATCCAACTAGATTTCACACCTGTTGCTTATTTTTCTTGTGTTAAAACAAAGTATAATGAATCACATCCTATTCATCTTGGGTCCAAGTAAGGGACTATATTTACCTGTGGCTCTGTTCTTACATTACTAAAGTACCCTATCTGCATGGATCATGTAGTAACACGCTCTGCTAGATTTCCTGCCAAAGTTCCTTCCAAATGATTGCATTCACTCAAAGTCTCATCACGTTAAGTAATCAGCCTTCTGCAGATGTCTTGTCAGCTTATCACCCTGGTGATAATCAGAGTTATGACCACGGTGATAAAGATATGCCAGGACTCTCTTCCTGGCAGGTGGTTAGTGATAATTAGCGCTCCTTCAATTGAACGCCCCCCCGCTGCTGGTGCACGAGGCACAGAGGCTGTCTCTCTGTTGGAAGCCTCAGGAGGATGTGGCTGTCACTCACATGTGGGGATGGGGGGAGATGGTTCTGATGGCAGGGATGGGTGTAGTTTATTTTAGAGCAGTGACAGTGCACAGATGAAGTTGACAGCGTTATCAATACATCCCGGGGAAAACTGTGGTTGATATTAAACCATTAAATACGTAGTTTTTTTTCGAGAGCTAGATAAGATGAGTGATAGCACTCTCTTCTCTGTCTCTGAAATATGGACATACTCTCTGCTACATCGGCCATAACTGTAAGCGACATGAGACTGTAACATGTCACTGAAAGTTGCCACACCCCCTGCAGTTACCATGGAAATTAGAGTCAGAGACCTAAACCTTTTTATATATATATGACTTTTTAAAGACCATGATTACAATGAATTCTAAGGAGCAGCTTGTTAGCAAAATGGTTACAGCACGTGCCATATAACTTGATCTGTTGTTGCATGTCACTCCCCCTCTCTCTCCCTCACCCCCCTGCATTTCTACATGAAGTGAACATTGAAGCCTTAAGATAAAAATAATCTAACTTTTTATTTTCAAAACTAATGTAAGGAACTCCTGCAGATATAGAATACATTTACTGTTGAAGGTTCGCTTTACAGCTTAGAACATGGCTGTGAATAGAGTGTCACAGTGACGCGTCCTAAAACCCGGAAGAAAGCTGCTTCCGGTTCCCTCAACAAAATAGCAATGCAATTTCTCCATAGGATTTTGGAAAATAGCTCGAAATAAGGTCTGTGGTTGAAACACATTTAAGAGACGGATCACGTTTTTTCACGGATAATCTCCACATGTCTACCCTACTTTTATAATTTCGAATCATAATCTAGATTTATGATTAGAAAAAGATAAAAGTAGGGTAGACGTGTGGAGATTATCCTCTACAAACTGACTGAAGGTTGACAGAAGCACAACAGATCAGATCTGCCAGGGATTATTTTTGCTCACACTAGAAATGCTCCAACTGCTTCCACTTAATTTCAGCAAAAACATGAAAGCAAACAAATATATTTGTGTCTATGGGGATGCAGTATTTAATGTGGTCGGAAATTGTCAGCAGAGAAATGTCCCGTATAAACAGATTTTAGCTTTTTGTATTGTGACATAGTTTAGGTTGCTTCCACATATTGTACACGTATTGTACACAGCAAGCTTTCTCTCCTCTGTATTCACCAACAATATATAATGCAAGATAATGTGGCCACAATTCATTCAATTTGATCAACATTTAAGTTTACTGTTGGGATCAAAGCATCTGATAAAACATAAGTTTTGTAACAGTAATTACATTCTTGTATGTTTGTCTGACTCAACATGTGTACAGAATTAAAGTGAATAAAGCCACGGATGCTCTAATGTTTATTTATTGGATAGTATAAGTTAATATTTAAAGGTTATCCAATCTTACCAGAATATTTGCCCCAGAAAGGTAAAGGCAGAAATGAGACGGAGAACATTACTGTTTCTAAAGCGCTCCTCTGAAGGGAATTAGTTTTCTCTAAAGTACAGAAGGTCACAGTGAGGTCTAAACTAATTATAAAGAAACATTCCCCAACATCTGCCTCTCAAAGGATGACATGAGTAATCACATTTAAAATTCCTCATTTTTTTAGCGATGTAATATTATTTGTTGTCCATAATATGTATTTCCTAAAAACAGGGGAAATGTATTGTTTGCAGATGAGTCAGTAATTGATAGGATACAGTTCAAGGGGTCAACAAAAGGAAAAGCCTGAGTAGTCAGAGGAGCAGATGATGAAATGATAGAGTAAAGGCCAGCTAAGGTCAACAGAAGCAGTGAAGGCAGGCGGCAGACATACAGATTTGACAGAGATTGAGCGAGGGAGAGAGCGTGTGCAGCGGTCTGCTTTCGCACAGAGCAGGAGTTTGTGAGAGAGCCGGCTTGAGAGTCCATTTCTCTTCAAAATATAATTGATTGCCAGCCTCCCTTGTCCCTGGCTGGCTTGCTAGCTCGTTGGTAACGTAGCTGATTTTTTCTAATGTGCCTGCATCTGGCGCTGAGTTGCCATATTCCTTCTGTGAGCTCTTTTTGTTCGTGAACCACTTCCTGATATCCATTGTTGCAGATAAATATAAATGATAATAGCCAAACTTACTTGACAGCAAGCAAGAGTAAACTGACAGGCTGCTGTGCCGCATCTCACTTAAAAAAAAAACAACACTTAAAAAAAACACACACAAGACTCAACCCAGCGAAAAACCAGTCTCGCGCGCAGAATTTCATTCAGAATTTCCTAACAAAATAAAAAATGATATTAAACTAATCTTTCAACATAGTTTAATACACAAATAAATATTAGGACAAAGCCCTACAAAGAACAACAATAAACATAATAATAAAAAGATTAAAATGTTTTATTCAGCCCTGATTAAAACAGCAGGCCCAAATCCTGGATGGGCCCGTCCATGACGCCGAGTCTGAGTGAAGTAAAGTTGAAACATATTTTTGTGACACTTTGAGAAGTTGACTTGGTAACCCACACTGTGTCTGTGAAATCTGTCTCTCTGCAAAACACACTTCCATCATTTTTAGGGACTACTCGGATTAGAGTAATTGGAATTTACTGACCACTAATATTCTTTTCATAAAGATCTTGAATCTTTAAATTCTCATTCATAACACTCCGTTCGATGTCTCACTATGGGATGCGCCTCAACGCGTATGCAAACAGAAGCATCAATCTCATTACGCCAATCCTTATTGGCTGGTGATCTTGACGTCTACGTCAGGGAATCCACCCACCCTATAAGTAGCTTGCGCTACGACGCAGCGTCATTCAAACACCTCTTCTCGCTTCAGAGCACATCTCGAATTATCAGTAGCCGGGCTAGCTTAACGGTCCACAGACTGAACCCACAGCTAACATTCGGTCGACGGGCGATTGCCGGTTACTTTTTTTGCTTTGCAAGAAGACTGAACAATATTAACACACCAGTTAATATTGTAATATGCCTCGCCGATTCTTTCTTTCGAAATTACGGTAAGATTTGAGTTTTTCTTCAAGCTGGTAACATACCTGTTGCTAGCTTTTATTCCCTCCACAC